TGTCTTTTTAGAAGTACATATTATTAAATATTTGATTAACTCTAAATAATAATAAAAGAATCCTTCTCTTCCTCCTAAAGTTACTTTTCTTTCCAAGTACTTCTCAAGCCCTCTGGTCTTCCTCTATTTTACAGAAGAGAAAAATGTGCTTTTAACTCATGTTACAGTCTGTGTTTTGAAAATTCCCCAGCCATAAAATATTTGACAGCTCTTCAGGGCTTATCACAGTTCAACAGCTAAGATACACTGGGGGGTGAGGGGGGAGAGAGAGTTGTAAAGCAAAATCCTGATCCTTTTTTATTATTATTAAAGGACACACAGGAGCAAAATATCTTCCTTATTTCAGCAGAACCCAGAATTCCCTTCCACGTCAGCTTTGTCCTATTCAATAGTGAAAGGAATCATTTCAAATATTCAGAGCATTTTTGAGACAAGGAAATCCTAGTCAACAAGGAATGCTCCTGTTCAGGGCTGTAGTCAGCCTTGATGTCTTTGCTTCTTAGAGTGGGGGAAGTTTTAAGAGAGGAGAAAGGGATACTGCTTTCTTGGCTGTGCTTTACAGCAGTGTTTCCCAACCACTGTTCCGCGGCACACTAGTGTGCCGCGAGATGTTGCCTGGTGTGCCGCGGGAAAAATTAAAAAATTGAAAGATTTTTTTTTTAAAGTCAAATTTTCGATTGGGGCGCCGTCACTAGATGACCCCTGGGGCTCCCTCCCTCCCTCCCGCTCTGCGCCTCCCTCCTCCTCCTCCTCCGGGGAGGCCCTTCCTGGCTCTCGGCCAAGGCTTGGCGGCTGCCACTCACTCACTCGCTCGCCCACCCGTCCCTCCATCCCTGCACCCGGCCTCTCCCCCTCCGTCCCCGGCGCGGGGGCTGCCGGGATCCGTAGTCCCCTCGCCCTTGGGCTCCGCGCCCGCGCGGGGTGTGCGAACTACGTTTCCCAGCGTGGCCTGGCGGGCCAGGCGTTTTGTTTGAAGCGCTCTTCTCCCGGCCATGGAATGAGCGTGGCGGCGGCGGCCGGGCGGGCAGGGGCTCTTCCGCGCAGACCCCGCGCAGCCTGCCTGCGCCCCCGCGGAGATCGGGCGGCAGGATGGAGGCCGGGGATCCCCGCGGAGGCGGAGCGGCGGAGGCGGAGGCTGCCCCCCAGGTAGGGCTGCGTCGGGGGGGGGTTTATTTTTGCAATGCTGCATCCGCGCCGGAGGGGACGCATCGGACCGCGGGGAGACCCCTTGGCGGGCGTGCAAGGCAATGCATGCGTGCAGGCGTTGCATGGAGTGCAGTGCAATGCAATGGCAACGCGGCGCCCTGCATGCATGCATGCAACTTCCACCGGCGCTCCGGACTTGGCAGGTGAGGGGGGTCCCCAGTGGGCGGCAGAGAGAGCCGGGAGGGCGAAGGGGAGCCGGGGGGGAGCAGCGCTGCTCCCCGAGCCGAGCCCGGGGGGAAACTTCGGCGTCGTTGCGCCGGGTGTTGGAAGCGGAGGCTGGCGGGGGCCCCTCACCTGCAAAACCTGGTCGCCTCTCATATATTTCGTGCATTGCATTCATCGCCCGCTTTCTCCTCCAAGGAGCTCCCGGGGGCGCGCGTGGTTCTCCCCGTGTTATCCTCGCAACAACAGCCCTGCGAGGTGGGTCAGGCGAGTGGCCCAAGGGAGCACCCAGGGATTGTCCTGGCCAGGTGGGGTGATTTGAACCCTGCTCTCTGCCCGGTCTTCGTCCTCATTTAGCCCCCACATGTGCATGACTGTGCATGACTGAGGTTTTCCCCCCTCGTCTTGGCTATGGTGTGAGTCTGTGCTGTTAATTAATGGGGTTCTGCCTTCGGAGAAGATGAGCCAGCCCTCAAGGAGGTGATTATGTAATTTGCTAGCAATTCATGTCCCTCCCGGCGTGACGCTGCGCGCTGACGTCACGGGGCTGTAATGGTGGTGTGCCTCGAGATTTTTTTCATGAAACAAGTGTGCCTTTGCCCAAAAAAGGTTGGGAAACACTGCTTTACAGCACTATAGCGCTTTAGACTGGGGACTGGCTGCTGACCCCAAACTTGAGCATTTTAGAACTATAAAGCAGGAAGGAAGCTGGTTCTCAAGAGTGAGAAAGGAAAACAGTGCCTTATTTATTTTTCTTCTTCCCCAAATTTCCCTGTACAGTGGTACCTTGGGTTACATATGCTTCAGGTTACAGACTCCGCTAACCCAGAAATAGTACATCGGGTTAAGAACTTTGCTTCAGGATGAGAACAGAAATTGTGCTCCGGCAGCAGGAGGAGGCCCCATTAGCTAAAGTGGTGCTTCAGGTTAAGAACAGTTTCAGGTTAAGAACGGACCTCCAGAACGAATTAAGTACTTAACCCGGGGTACCACTGTATAATGCAAGGAGGGAATTTTTTAAACCATACAGCATGGATCCCCAACCATAGATATAAATGATAAACTCACACAACTGCTAGTCTCTTAGGTGGAAGTTAAGTGTTTCCTGACAGAAAACCATGCAAAATCCAGATTTTAACAAAATCTGTGAGTGCACTCCCCCTCCCACAACAACAAAAGATAGCAAGAAGGACAGGTGGTTTCTGTCTTTGACATTCAATATGAACCTGGAAATTCCATTTCCAAACAATTAGGTGAGTTAAGATTTCTCATCTCTATACACTTAATATCAACCATCTAAATGATCATGCATTTTCCTCAGGCCATTCTGGCATTTCAAATATTTTCTCTCTTAATTAACTCATGAGTATACTTCTGAATACCAAGGGAGCTTTCCCCTGCATATGTAGAAGCATACTAACTCACTTGGGGGTAGGGGCACTTTGCACTGACTCATCCATGTTTGCTATTGGACATTATAATTCCAATGAATATGTAAGACGTATTCTCCTTGTAAGAAATGGGCTTTCCTTACTTAGGACTAAAGAACAGTGACACACAGGATAGTACAGGAAGGCATGGAGACCGAGTAGTGGGGGTCATTGCGCTTGGGGAACCAGAATAGGAGCGCTAATATGAGAAGGTGGAAGGTAGGTCATCAAATCCTTCCTCCCTGGACATTCAAATCTTCATTAAATGTTCTCAGATTTCAACCAACAATGATTAGGGCTTAAATGTTTATATTTTTAAATATGTTGCAGTCCTTTCTGAAGCAAGCGATTAACAAGCAATAATAATAATAATAATTAAAAAAAAAATAATACCTTCAGTGTGAAATTCAGCTTTCCTTTTTACCCTCTGGCAAAGTCAACTCCATCTTGGATTCTCAGAACACACAGGGATGCTTTTTCAGTGTCCTCCCACCTGGGAATAATTTATGATTGACAGCTCCTGCATGGCTGGGTGAACCCATGAATGACCCATCTCCCATAGGACTGGAATGGGTAGGAGCAATTGCACAAGCCTCTCCAAAGAAACTGGCACCCTGCTGGAAAGACCTACATCAATAGGCTCTGCCAAGTAGTTGAATCATGTAAGCATTATCCAAGCCACTGTAGGAGCTTCTCAACGATAAGCAACTCTCAGTCAGCAAGCCACATGAACCATTTGTTGACACAGGAGATCAAAGAAGCCTGATATGCTAAGCCATCCCTGAAGGATTGCCTTCAGGAGTGGGATTTTGTTAATGCATTTGATTTATTTGATTAATTTTTCTCTTACCCTCTCGGGGCTGTTTTAGGTGGTTTCCCATTCGGTTGCAGGTCATGTCTAGCCCTGCTGAGCTTCAAACACGGAAGCTCATCAGTTGCCTTCAGATCAATTTCCCTGTATTTCCCCACTGCCACACTCCAGAATCTTGCTGATTCCGCCTCCCCAACCCATCTGTTTTTCCTTTATGTGGATCATGCTGACAGTATCTCCCTGCGGGCTTCTGTTAACAAACACCTAGCTGAGTTTCCCCACAAAACAATGCCAGTCATTTTCCTCTTATGGATGGCTGCCTTCCATACCACATGGGGATTCACCCTCCAGTTCTCAGAATGCTTAAAGCAGGACTGGAGCAGGAAGCAGATTGCAGCTGTGCAAGGCAAAGCAGACATTGGCTTAGCATGGTTGCAAGTCCCATTCCATATGAATGTATTGGCAGTTTATCTGTATGTGAATCATCAGAATGAACTCAGTGGAAATAATAGCAGCAGATTCATAGCCAGTTGTTGGGCCTCACTGAAGACGCAGTGGTAAAAGAAAGTAAGATGCCCATGGGTTATATCTTTAGATATTTTTAAACTGCATTGCCAACTCAGAGGAGAGAAGCATATGGACAATTCTTTGGTTAGTTATCTTCCATACAGTTACATCACTGCGCAACCAACATACAACATGGGGGCTGCTTCTCCCCCTACATCTTTACAGAAGTGGTTGCTCACCCCCCCCAGCCACTACCTCTTGATCTATGGTCAAGATGTAAATACATTGCACAAAGGTAAGATCAAAAAATTAGGTCCATGAGTGCTGTGACCAGAGGTCCTGCTTGTAGCTCCAATTAGTAGCCCTTCTGTTTCAGCAAAGCAGAGCTAATCCCTGGGTTGAGATCCCCACTCAGACAGTTACTGTCTCTTGGCCTATCCTAGCTGCAGCGCAAACTATGAAATTGCCTCCTACAAGGGTAGTGAATGCCATCAACTTGGATGGCTTAAAAGGAGAATTATACACATTCATGGAGCGCAAAGTGATCAATGGCTATGTTCTACCTTCACTGTTGAAGGCAGGAAGGCTCTGACTGCCAGTCGCTAGGAATCATAGCTGGGGAGTGTGTTGTTGAGCTCAGCTGCTGCTTTCTGGCTTCCCATAGGCATGTGGTTGGACACTATGAGAACACTGGACTGGAGGGGCCATTGGTTTGATGCAGCAGCCCCTCTTATGCTCTCATGTACCTCACAGGATTGGGGTGAAGATAAAATGGGAAACTGGAAAACCTCATATCCCACCTTGAGCACCTTGATGGAAAAGTGGGTTGTGAATGTAATAGTAAATAAACAAACATATTTCACACAGAACAGACATCAGACAGGTTTGTCTGTAGGCCAGCACTTCCACCATACCCAAACATTTATTTTTCCAAAACTATTGCTAATGACAACAGATATATTTGTTTCCCCTCAGCACGGATTTAACAGTTCCAACACATTTACTCCTCTAATACTGTACAATACTGTACCAAAAAGAAAGAAGAGATGTACCTCCAATATTGTACATGGTAGTATATATACAAAGTACAATTTTACAGTTCGCTTGGTTTTTTTTTCTTTTTCTTTTTACTTTGAAAGGAAAATATATACACCATATATATAGACTGGTGTAGAAGATAAACAAACAAATGGAAAATTGCTTTTAAAACAAGAACATTTCATTCCAAACCCATTAAAACAACAGTTGTTAATTTAAAAACAACAACAACCCATATAATCTAATGCACTGAATGGACCCAAACCTGACTTTGCAGGATTAGATTTTAAAACATAAAAATTGAAGACTGTTAGACTGTGCAACTGAACTGTGTTACATACAGTAGAATAAAGACATCACTGCCATTCCTTTTTCAAATATATATATGCGTTAGCATTTTGGCTACATGGATTACTGTCTTTTATGTCACCTGTTCATATTTTAAGTATATTGCTCTAGCAATTTGGCACCCACAGAGCCCAATCCAGGAAGCTCTGATTATAGCCTTCAACTTCCAGAGAGAGAGAGAAATCTTGCTAGTGCCACTATAACTTGAAGCTTTATTTCCATCATATGGACCATCTCACTCGTACAGAAGAAAACACAGCCTAAAAGATATTGGTTCAAAGGTGATTCTAAGATTGCATTTTTTTTATTTAAAAAAAATTGGAAATATTTGCATTGGAAGCTCACACATTGTTTATTATTTTATTTTAAAGAAGCAATAACCCAGACCCTTAAATAGACTCCCTCATGCTTGCCAGATCAACTATGATGGAAATTTCTATTACATTTTGCTTCTTTTGCATTTAAGCATTCAAACAGGAAAAGTTGTTGAAACCTTCGAAAAGCAGCTACTGCACGTGCATATTTGGTTGTGCGCTATGCAGCAGAGAGGCAAGATTGACTTTTCCAAAGCATTGTGCGGTCCAAGCTTCATTCATAATTATCTGAGGTGGGAAAACATTTCTAGAAGCTATTCATAAAGCTATAAGCAAGGCAGAAATCTCCCCAGGAATACAATTTTTTAGGACCCATCTTTCCTAGTCATGTCTGAGACAATTTAGCACCACATTTACATCCAAACCATTTGCTTGACACACACGTACGTGTTGCTCTTTTGAGAAACTGCATCCTAAAAGACACTCAAGCCAGAGACTTTCCGGGTAAACATGTCTCATATATGACTTTGCAGGCTTATAAGCAAAGAGAAACTTGGTTCTCAGTTTCCTCCCTGTGTCTTAGGTACGTATTTCATTATAGTTTTGTAGCTACCCTACTGAAAGCTTGCTGTATTTTAAAGCACAATATACATTACACCCTAGAAAAGTCAGTGAAAGGAAAGATTAGTCCTGAAAGGTGTTCAGCCCTTTGGACCCAGAAAACATGTCAGCTAAAATTTGTTATCAAAGAGAATGGCTACATTCATGAGGCTCTAGTGTTTTCCATGCAACAGGGCCAGATACCAGAACTGGGAGACACCAGCACCTTGGGAGCGAAGTCCAAACCAGTGAAGGATATGATCAGACAAACTCTTTCCCTTTCCTCTTGAAACAATCCAGAAGCATGCCAGATGAAGGCATAAGAGGCAGACATGTTAGAGGAAATGAGAGACCCTGGACTCCCGAGCAAACTCCGAAGGGAGAATGATACAGGGGGTGGGTGTTTCAACTGTGGAGGGTCTCTCTTCTCCCTGGTATGCTCCCCCTGTTTCAGGTCATTAATAGGGGGAGCAATTTGGAGAAGATGGGCAACTAATGTCACCTGCAGCCCAAAATCAGGGTCAGAAAGAAAGTTGAGATGCAATTGTGCTGGTCTCAAATAACAGTGCTCTATTCAAGTGAAAAGTTACAGAGAGTTACAGATACAGACGTTATGCACTGTTATGCAGAGACATCAATCTTTGGAGGACTGGACCTTGTGGGCAGCAATGGTGGCTTCAGGGAAATTCTGACTTTCGCCCAGCCAGGGGGCCCAACCTTCGTGGAGGCTCATCAAAAGAAAGTGAAATGCCATTGGCCATGGCTGTAGGAAGAGCAAAAGCACCTGCTTTGTTTCACATCTGGCATTTCTGCTTTCTATTGGGGGTGGGGCAGGATGTTACCTGAACAGAATATTATTCAAACAATTGTATATTAGTAAGAGACTGGTGGTTTGAGGGATTCCCACCCCCCTCAATAAGTATGTAAAGGATAGATTTGTTCATGATCACAGTGTTATTTAATATCCAGTGCTTCACCATTCAGTCAGTAGAGATATAAGGGAAACACGATGTTTTAGCATTGGTGTGTGTGTGGGGGGGGTGATATTTCAGTGTATTAGCATGTGTATCTGAGCCTAGAAGTTGAAAGGCGCATTTAGATAACCACCATTTGAAAGAAAGTGAGATGCTTAACAGTAAGTGAAACACATTTTTCTATGGTCAGCTAAGAATTTAGTTGCCAAGTTACAGGTAGAGAAACTCCAGATGGTCAGCTAAAATGCTTTTATTTCCCTCTATAATGTCTATGTATTACCTCCATCTATTTGTTAAATGCTGGTCTTGCATAGGACACTAAATTACATCGACTTTTGGCTTTGTATCTCACGCTGGTAGGTGAAGTTGCATCTTATGGGCATATCTAAACCACAGATGAACAGAACAATCCTCTGCAGGGTCATTTGGCAAGAAGTCCCACTGTATTCAGTGCAGATTCCTGGGAAACTGAATGGGACTACAGCATTAAAATCAGGTTTTGGTGGTGTTGGGTTTTTTTTTTTTAAAGTAATGCCCTCTTTCCAGTGAACCTGAGTATCTGTATGTTGTGTCTGGGCATGTTTGTAACGTAGATATGCCCTAAATCAGAATTTGCCAACCTGGTACCCTCCAGATGTTTTGGACTGCAACTCCATGGGCTGGGTGGGGCAGATGGGAGTTGTAGTTCAAAGCATTTGGAGGACACTGGGTTGGCAAAGGCCGCCCTAACCACAGTAATTCATGTACCAGAGATACGTGGGAAGCGCCCTTTCCATTAGCGCAAGGGCATGAAAATCTATGCAAGAGAAACTGATCCAAATTGCCTAACTTAGAGATTTTAAACTAAGCAATTTAAGCAATTTTTAAAATATATATAAAAAAAATGAACATTCCTTGGAGCTTGCCTGTGGAAAGTTGTTTTCACATATACATGTTCAATATAGATCATGGTGCATGTTTTAAAATTCCGGTTGGATAGCATATGATATGGTGTACATCCTTTGACATTTCTACTTCCTTTTTAGTAGGTCCTCCCTAGTGCTGAGTTCAGCCAAAAAAGAAAAAAAAGCAAGTTATATACAGAAAGGTCATAAAAATATCAAGCCATTAATCATTATTTTTTTGCCACTTTGCACCCATATACCAAAACACTTTGAAGACGTGAAATCTCATTTTGTTCCAATGTGCCTTGGGTGGCCGGCATGCCCTTCACTGGTACAAGGCATGGTATAAAACCTAGACAAAATAAGGCATTGCTAGCATGTGCTCAATAGCTTTCCTATGAATAAATTCTGCCTCCATCCCTGCACCCCACCTTGGGTAGTGACATAACACTAGGCCTGCTAATGCCTTGTGCTAAAGGGAGCCCCATGTGCCTTCAATGACAGTAGTTAACGTGTGCTGCAGGAAAGGGAAAGGTTGCACCTAACTAAGCTGTCGTGTTGCTGCTATAGGCACAGAAGCCCTGCTCTGGCCAAGAAGCTGGCAACCCTAACATGAACTTACAAAACTAAAAAAAAAAAAAACAGTAGTTTTGCCTGAGTGAAACACTATTCTCTTAAAAAAGAAGAAGCAGAAGCAGCAATAATAAAGAATTAAGATTCCTGGATTAGAAGTCTGTCCCACCCTGAGAATGAATGATCAGGTTGCAGCGCTCAGGTCTTTCACTTGAGCTGGCCAAGATCCAAGATGCAGAGTTAATGTGCACACACATACCAGGGAGTGAGGTGGGTGGGGTGGATGTCTGTGTATTTAAAAGGCAACAGCTAGTAAAATGTTAAGGAACAGAACTGCCCCTCCATTAAAAAAATGCAAAAAAACATTTTACATGGTTTTGTTTCTACCACCATTTGTGAGATTGTCAAGTCTTTTTAGACATAATTTAAAAAAAACAAACACAATTTCCCCCTAACTTGTAGGGAGCTTAAAAGAAAATGTCTGACTAACAACCTTAGATTAATCTGAAGACTACTGCAATTTTGTTTACATAAGATTAAGTATTTTGCTTCTATTAAAATATCAAATACCAACGATTTCATTCATAAAACCACAAGAAAACAGACTGTAGTTCAGACCTAGCGCATGAAAGAAAACACATTTCAGTTCCTTATCTTGCCCTCAGCAGAGGATCAAAGAAGGGTGATGGAATCCATATTAATTCATTGTTCCTTTGGTTGGTGGTGATAAAGGCAGCAGAGAAATTCCCAGTTGCTTATGAAGTCTGCATTTCTTCTTTTTTAAAATGATTACCCTCTTGAAAAATATATTCCCATTCAATGCAAACATGAGTCCATACAGTCTGTTGGAATTCAGAACAATTGCAGTCCATCACTGTAAATGCCAGATGTAAAGATGATTCATTTTACTGTCTGTACTTATAGACGTGGTGACCTGGCACAGAAATATGCTGAATACTGGACTATGTCCACGTCCCACAACAGCTTTTAATTTATTTGCCCTATGCTGCCATATCAGAAGCTCATAGGAGACTGAGCCACAAGCTGAGGAGGGGGTGGGATGTGGGGCAGAGAAGAGAGAGACAGAGACAAGCAGGGTCAAGCTGCTAACTGGGATTACCAGATCTTGAGTCTAAGATTGTTCAGAACTGGAGTGGTTGGCCTGAAACTATCTCATTTTGCAAAGACGATTAAAGATGTACACACTTGGAAATGCCAGAAGAGAGACAGAGAAAGACTGATCAGTAGTAGCTGGTTTTCAAAATTTAACCTACGTTTTCAGTTTGGTCTCCTGGGTGCCCATGAAAGTGCAGAGAGGCTGTTCTAGAGACACTGTTTGAAAATCTCATTTCAAAAGCATTCGCGCTGCTTTTAGATCTGGAAGCACCAAGCAAAGATATAAGTAGGGGATATTTAACCATGCAAGCTCTAATGCTCTTTATTTCCCCTGCAATATCAGTTTAACTTTAAATGAACACATGCATATGTGCATGTAATATGCCTCATTTAAACCAAGGCTAAGCTTGTGCACTTTTCATGATTTCTTTTTTAAACACAGGACAGAAAACGTATGTCTGAGAACATGTACCCCTGAAAAAAATGATGCAGGCTGTAATGGAAACTGACCTGACCTTGTGTGCCACCATTATGCACTGTAATAGTGCACAAAAATATGCCCCAGGCATACCCGGCCATCTAAACCAGTGAGATCAAAAACATCCATGGGTGAACAATATTGTATTGTATCCCTGTAGTGGTTGAAGCACAGAAGTCTTTTCTGCTAACCTCTAAAAGATGACCCTGATGGTTTCCCTTAGTGACCAGACACTCAAACAAGGCATTGACTGTTTACCACTCAGTTCTGTCTTTTCCTCACTGATTTCACAGCAACCTGATACAAGGCTTTCTATGTCTCGGGCTACACAGAGCTGTGATGTCCTAGCATCACAGGTGATGGGAGGTGCAAAATGAGACTTAATTAGTTGGGGCTTTCCTGTCGGGAGAATCCCTAGCGATGGTAACTTCCAAACTAATCTTCAGCAGAAGTTCAGTACTAATTAATAGAAATTTCTAACATCTCCTTAACAGGGTCCCCTCATCTGAAACAAACAATTTTTTTTGCTATATTCACAGTAGGCTTTCAAGTTCAGACAGTACAGGACTTGTCAGTAGACTGTTGAGATGCTGAGGCAACCACAGGGCTTGTGGTGTTTGTTTTGGGGAAAACTGCAGGCTTTGGCCTGGTTGCTGGAGGTTTGACCGGGGCGGCCATTTTGACAGACTTTGCTGGCCTGAAAGCGCAGGGAATGTCGCTTGCCGTGCTGGCACTCCGCTGGAAAGCTGGTTCAGAGTCTTTGAGGATCTGAGTATGCAATGGGCTGGAAGGCTCCGAGGTGGGGGCCACAACAGGAGAGGTTTTCAACGGCTCCAGGGTGTCCAGGACAACATCTGGCGCGTGCTTCACGCTGCTTTGCCTTTCCAGCTCCCGCAGCTCGTTCAGAGCAGAGTTCATAGTAGCTTCAATATCCTGCAAAAGAGAGACGTTGGAAGCAATTAAAGGAGCTAGAAAACAGCTCAACTAATTCTCTGTGTTGTCTCTAAAATATTAAGCAAAAGCAGACAGTGGCAGATGCTGCTCCTGTCATAAGAGGAATGATATGGCATGGAAAATCTCTTCCTAGTGGCATGACCAGTCCCACTATCACCCTTCCCTGCAAGGTAATATGGACAGGGTGGGAAACTATGTGGCCAGAGGACCAGCCTGTTGCTAACTGTATGAGGCCAGGCATCCAACCAACTAAAAAATTATTGTATTTAGAGTTGAAGACTTTAGCTAGATCATGTTTTCATAAAGCTGCATGGGTGGACTGGAGCTATATCCTCCTTACTTTCTGACCATCAACTGCCTTCTCTTTCAAGCCTTGAGAACTAGAGCTCAGCAAACCAAGAGGCCTCTATGATTTTATTCATTCTGAGCTTGGTGCCTTTTATCATTGGAAGGGATGTTGGCTTTATGTGTGGTACTCAAGACAAATTGTTGCAGAATTTCAGTCCAGAGTGCATGCCAGGTAATCACACTTTTCTTTAAACCTTTTCCCTGGTCAGATGGCTGGTAGGAAATGACTGAAACACTGGTAGATAATAGCTTGGAAAGCAAGGAGATGGATAAGAGGAACAAGCATGATGCTTGAGAAAACAGACTCCTCAAAAAGAGTAGAAACCCATTATGCTGCTAACTATGTGGCAAATGAGCAATATGCAACTCTAAATCTGGAACGTGACACATATCAGCATTTCCTCACTGAAGTCACTTGCTATTCTATAGTGTTTTTAAAAGATATATGAAAAATGTTGCTTATATGACACTTCATTCTTGCTTCACATGAAAGATGCAGGAAATAATGCAAAGGTCACAATTAGGAACAAGCATCAAGCCTTTTTTCTTTTCTTTTTTTAAAGATCTTGGCTGGATCATGACCTAAGTTTGCTTAGAAGTTCAGCTGTAGATGTGGCCTTGACTGGTGCAATACGATTCTTGGAGAGCTAAATGATTTAGCGTTTCCATGACTCACATCTTGGCTACAACATTTTCGTTTCCTCATAGGCATTTTAAGGCACACAGGGAGGTAAATCAGTCAAGGAGGAGGATGAACCAAAGACGGTAACCAGATTCCTCCCATCACAGTCTGAAAAGATCTTAAAGCAAAACACAGATTTCAGAGATACTGGTGTCAAATGCAAGAGGTGTAGCTCACACTGTTTGAAATGACACCTGAGAGTACATGAAAGGGGAGCTCTAATTTAATGCAGCTCATTTTTCTTTTATTGAGTATATTTCCCTATGGAAACAATAAATTACATAAGGGCAAAAAGAGGAGGGTGGATAAAAGCAGAATTTAACTGAAAGGCAAGAGAGGCTGCTATATGTCATTCAAAGCATTGCAAAAAAATATAACCTACATGTAGCCTTCTCATATAAACAAAAGGAGGAAATGCACCATAAGGGGAAAGGACAGCTTTTCAGAAGAGGACCACAATATGTATTATAGACAAGGCAGAAGCTGTAGAAGGTAGATCCTGTTCTCAGGGCTGGTTAGTATAGCCAAGATCCAGCCCCAATGGTGACCTCTATTTACAATCCAATCTGTGGTGTCCAAGAATCTGAAGTGCCTTATGAAAAGTTCAGCATCAACTTCAGCATGAATCATATGCTATGGAAACAGGTGAGATGAGAATGCATGATGGGCACAGGATTGCAACCCAAATGGTAAATGACATGGTGGTTGGTTCTGCTCATATTGAGTGCCTTACAACAAATAACTGGACAGGAAAAGAAATATGTCTCATGCCCCACACCCCAACAGGTGGCATGGAACAACAGATAGAGACAATGTGTGCCTGCTTATTTCCAAGACCAGATTTCTGGATGCTGTGATAATGTGCTTCAAGGAATTATCTATTAGTATTTGAAGGGACTTTATTCTCTGATGTTTTAATACAGTTTCTTTCTCTCCCTTTAGAATTAAGTGGTTATATATTTCCCGCCCCCTTTAAAGTGAGTGGTGTGTGTGTGTGTGTGTGTGTATCTATATCTATATTTCTATATTTCTATACACCTGCCCTAAGGTGGAATAAACAATGAAATAAAAGTAATTGCACACGACCAGGAGGTATAAAAAATAGGGACGCAGGTGGCGCTGTGGGTAAAACCTCAGTGCCTAGGACTTGCCGATCGTATGGTCAGCGGTTCGAATCCCCGCGGCGGGGTGAGCTCCCGTCTTTCAGTCCCAGCTCCTGCCAACCTAGCAGTTCGAAAGCACCCTTAAGTGCAAGTAGATAAATAGGTACCGCTTTAAAGCGGGAAGGTAAACGGCGTTTCCGTGTGCTGCGCTGGTGCAGGCTCGCCAGAGCAGCTTCGTCACGCTGGCCACGTGACCCGGAAGTGTCTCCGGACAGCGCTGGCCCCCGGCCTCTTAAGCGAGATGGGCGCGCAACCCTAGAGTCAGACACGACTGGCCCGTACGGGCAGGGGTACCTTTACCTTTACCTTTTTAGGAGGTATAAAAGCCAAACATTCAAACAGCAGCAGCATCTGATAGCCTAGTGAGTTCCTTCACCCCGTTTCAGCCTAACTTCTTTTCTTGGAAGGCCTAACTTTGTAATATGAGATTCAAGTGCGTGTGAGCTTTTGACAGATTCATCACATAGTGAAAAGCAGAAGACCTGGCCAAGCATGTAAGAGCAGTACACCTACAGCTGGAGAGGAAACCAAGAACCAAAACCTTCTCTGAGCACACAGCATAGCACAGACAGACTTAGATGGATTGCCATTTCTGAAGAGTGGCAGAATACTTCAAGTCTCGAGCAGTTTTAAACAAATGATTTCCAATATCTTCTGCAACTGCAGACACATGATGAGATGATTTTTTTGGTAGTGAACCAGTTTTGCACTGAAGAGAAACTCCCGCTCGGTTTTTAGAAGGTGAAAACACATTATGTGGCTATGGAGTAGTTAACTGAGAAAAAAAATTATGCAAGGCTTCCTTAGTGGTCAAAAAGAACACATTTTTGTGGGCTTGTGTTCCACTCTGGACCAATGTCGCACTATCAAGCTTCTGTGAAAACAGTGCTCATTTCAAAAATTAGAGGAGGGGAATCACATGATGGCTTTACGCTAACATGGTGTAAAAGTCTCAGCGCCCACATCCAGCCACAGCTGTGTACACACCATTGAAACCATCCCCTATCCCTGCCAACAGAAACAACGAGATCTGCTTTGTTTGAAGGTAGCTCCTTATCACTGACTGAAACTGAGAAGCAAGAGAAAAGCTACTATGAAAATTCCATGGAAACAGGATAGATTGTTGTGTTCTTTTCACGATCCCTTAACCTCTAAGTGCAGTTAAACAAACAGATCTGGGCTGTGGGTTCAAAACAGAGGCACCAAAAACTCAGTTTTTCAAAAATCCTGGGCTTTGAGATTCTAACACAGATTCCTGAAAGCATAGAATATTAACACTGCATATAGCTCTGTTTTCACCAAAGCCTTTGCCAACATTTATCCCAAATGATTTAGGGGAAACAGAGTTAGATGATGAAGATGATGACAATAAGTGGAAAGAGCATACAGTGAAGAAATAAAATGTGATTTTTAATTCAGATAAAAAACAGGACTGGGGAGAGTGGTTATGATGGTGTTATGGCCCTCATTCCCTGACTGTTAGTTTCAGCAAGGTCCAACATTATCAACTGTAGAAACAGAACAGTAGGAAAAAGGATATATAGTGTTAAAGCAAGTATGTTTCCATGCACTTTTCACCAAGGTGTATCCCTTGGGTGGCAAGAGATTTGAGTGTATTATACAAGATGATAAAACTCAATGGAATAGGTATACACCATATAAAAATGCAGGAGTTCTAGACAGTCTGTGGTCCCTTTCACATTTGTATCTCAAAGTCCTGGGTGAGCAGAAGAAGACAAAGTTAAATGGCTTCCTGCTTACCTTAGAGGACTTCTGTTTCTCAAAGCACAGGAATCTAGCCAGATGCCTCTGTTCTACATTGCCTATGAAAACTGATTGTGTTTTCTAAAACCATAATCATGGGAGTTGTAGTCCAAAACATCTGGAGGACACCAGATTGGAGAAGACTGTCTAAAACTAACAGGAAACATACTCTGCCATTAGTATTTTGCTATGGGTTAAACTAAGAGCACTAAATTCCCATGGCTTTATCCATTTCTATGTTTTAGCAATTTCCTCATGGACATGTGAAGAGCAGAAACAATCAGTCTTCTCTCAAAGTTTAAGTGAGTCACATGTGATCAAAATTTGGTCATGTAGCCAAGGTTCTCAATCAAATGCATCTTAACTGGGATGCTTTGATGCAGGTAATTTATAACCCTTATGAATCTTTGAAAATTGGTATCAAGTTGATTAAACATAGGCGCTGTTCCATGCTTTTTTGATTGACTAGGCATGCAGCAATCACAAACCGAGCTGATGTTTTAGAACTGAACAGAAATTTAAATGTTCGAATTTTAAAAATTCAGAGGTTACCTCAGAATTCAAAACTTGACTTGTTTTGATCACCTCTAAGGGGACGCTTCCTGATCTGAAGCAAATACTGAAGCAAAATATAAAATATTGATATCAAATAACATTTGTTGCTAAATATACAACATTCACAGAACAGCTGGAACATATTTGAGTATTAGATGAATGTTTTAGTGAATAGTCAACATCAAAATTCACAAAGGAGATTTTTTTAACAGAATGGGTAACATGGGGTGGAGATATTTGTTTACCACTGTATGCAAGTTAAGCCCCATCTTACCTCAACCTGGCCTAGCTTCTTATTACCTGTGCAATGACTTCAGGGTCCATGGGCCGGTGGTTATTAAAGCTCTTTGACCTTCCAGTGGTCACATTTTTCCGGATGTGGGGGCTATCTATCCTGTTCTTCAGAGAGGCATGCCGGCTGAGCGAATTGAGGCTCCCATGGCCACTGATGGAAGATGCATCTGGTACCTCTTTCGGGAGACTTTGGCTCATAATGGGTTGTGAGGAGGGACGTGAACTGGCCACAGCTCCTGGTGGGACTGGTTCTCCCAGGGAGCTGGGCAGCCCGTGGCTGTCACTTTGACGGAAAGCTCTTCGTATGCTGCCAGACTCTGGTCTCTTTCTTTGCCTGTCACCATAAAAGAAGCAGGGGGTGGGGTGGGGATTAAGTGTTATAGAAGTTGTATTTCAACACAGGAATCCCAGAAAGGCAATGAAAGGATACTGAAATTGCAAAATAAACATTCTGAACTAAATCACCTTTTCCACTCTGCTTATAATAACAAGCCAGCATGAAGGTTAGCGCGTCGGAACAGAATCAGGAAGGATCCAGGTTTTGGTGATTTGAAGCCAGCCAGCTTCCCTCAGCCCACTTTATAGGGTTATTACAGGGGAAAAGCAGGGCAAGAATCAGGCACACTGCTTTGGGTTATTTGAAGGGAAGGTGGGCTAGAAATGTAAAATGTAAATGACTGATTGAAAAAAACAGTTTCAACATTATTGGCAACCCAATGGGAAGTGTTTCAGTACTGCAAATGTTGGCCTACTGACCTGGATGTCAGAGCTGCAACTAGTAGTATACCCCCGGTGGGACAAAACATTACATAAAACAATACAAATAAGCTAAACTAGTTCAACTGCTCAAAACTAAACAAAAGAAAAAAACAATGCTCAACACATACATTAAAGAGTAGTAATACAAAACCGATATTAACTCTTACTTATTGATATTTGCAAGATAAATGTCTGCAACATGGCTCCCACTTGGGCAGTTGGAACCAGCTCTGGCAGTCACCTTTTCTTCCGGTGGCTCTGAATTTACTTCTATTTCAGATTTTGGGCTTGATCTTTCTGATACACCATCCTCACTAGAGAAAAAAAAGAGCCACAACCACAAAACCTATGTTACACCCTCAAGGTAAGCCACAGTAGAAGTCGCAATAGCCGGAACAACTTTATCATCAGGTTTTTTTAATTCTCTCAAATTACAACATCTCATTTTAATGCTTTACTTAAAGGCTGGGTGGTGTACTTGGATCCTGAGAGCAGCCATAATGCAGCTTGTAAAACTAAGATGCTCTTTTTGGGGGGGGGGCGTGTTGTTGACTATTTTCATATGATCACATGAAGCATCTGAGCATGTGTATAGGGCAGCAGTGAGGGATCTGGAAACCAACTATGAGGAATAGTTGTAAGACCTGAGCATGCCTAGCCTCAAAAATGTTACGGGAGCGGGGGCAGACTTTGGTAATATGGTAATACGAGTGAAGACAAAATCCCCCCAATGCCTTTTGGTACAGTTGTTTTTTTATAAACTCTTTGACTTTTAAAATTATGTTGCGCCCCCTTGCTTAGCGCCCTGTGCAGGGGAACCACCCACACTGCCCTAAATCTGGCGCTGAAAGGAGGCATGATAGCACCTTGTATTATCTGAAGGGCTGCTATGCAGCAGATGAAGCTGACCTATCCTCTGTTGCTCCAGAGGGCAGAATTAGAATGCAAGGGTGGAAATGATAGGGAAGCAGATTTCGGTGACGCTTTCTAACAGCTAGAGCTGTCTGATGGGAAGTGGTGTGCCCTCCTTCCTTGGAGGTATTTAAACAGAGGCTGGATCCTAATCTGCCAGGAATGTTATGCTTGTAAGATCCTGTATTAAAGCATGGGGGTTGGACTAGATCAGCGCTTTGCAAACTTTTGATGTCGGTGACGCACTTTTTAGACACACAAAATTTCATGACACAGTAATTCAGTTTGACTAGCAAACCGGGGGTTAAACTAACCCTTTTCCAGTCCCAGGAGCAGCACGGGGAGTGTTCACACTACGCACTGCTACCGACACACTAACACGTTGCGACAAGCAATTTGGAAAGCTCTGGGCTAGATCCTTCCCAACTCTTCGTTCCTAATACTTTAAGGTGCAAATAGACTTTTCAAGACATCTTCTTCCCCAGAAGCAATATTAAATCTGAGCCCTGTTTATCCAAGTACCATGCCCCAATGGTCTTAAGAGGTAACATACGTGTCCTGGACAACGATGTATTGATGGGGGATCAGGCCATCAATTCCGTTGTGACGGCCCTCCCACCAGTCGTCAGAGGCCCGGTGATAAAGCAGGAGGGAAGCCCCCTTTTTAAAAGAGAGCTCGCGTGCTGTTCGGCCGCTGTAGTCAAATTTGGCTATTGCTTCAATAGGTTCACATTCTGCAGGAAAAAGAAACAACATTTCAATGAATTTGCATATCAGTGTTTAAACCATTCACCTTAAAAAAGGAAAATAAAAGTGAGGAATTCAAATATCTATATATGTTGTCAGCTGAGATACTGGAGGTCAGATGCACCTGGCAAATGAAGCCAGGCTATTTAGAAGCACGTTATACACTCTCCAAAGCTTTAGAGGTCTACTGCTACCAGTGAAATGTTCACAGATGCTTACCTCTATGGTGAACTCAACATAACTGTCCTGGCAGCTGGGGACAGGTGGGCTGGTCCACAGGATTTCCAGAGGCACAGTATTTTCTGTACTATGCAAAGAATTGCTCAGCTGGGAGTAGTCAGGTCACAAAATGATAGAGCCTGTGGAGACCTTAATGGCTTCTTAGGATCTGGATCATGCTGGGCCTGAAAGCTGCAGTAGAACAACTTGCCAACTGCTGCACGAGGGGAAGTTAAATGAGGCACAAGGGGTTCACAATCCACATGAAGCTAAGGTATGTACAGGCCCTTGGTCTGGCTTGTCGTCAGGGTGGCATGAGATTGTGAGATGCTTTAGTTGAGATTCCTGTTTTGCAGAGGGTTGGACTAGATGGCCCTTGGGGACCCTTCCAACTCTACAATTCTATGGTTCTATGCTTATTGACAAGGTAAAGGCTCTAAGGGTTTCTTCACCTAGGTGTGCACATAAGAGTACACACACACACACCTCTTCAGTGGATACCTAAATATATGCAGTCTAAATAAACGTTGTGAAGAAGATGCTTGGAAACTGTATTGTAATAGGTCCACCAGGGACCCAAGAATGCTTGCAGCTCCCTGTAGAGTATACAGTTAGTGGCAAAAACAGGTTTGTTTCTGCACAGTGGAATGGCAGGCTGGACATACTGCTCCATAGGGTGGAAGTTATTCCAAATTATTACATTCCCAAGCAATGAATCCCAATAGGGATCATGAGCAGAGTCTCCCTGCACTGAGGTTGCCCTGCCCCCTTTGTAATCCAGTCCATGGTTCTCGTCTACAATCTAATTGGGAGGAATTCAACATCATGCTAAGTGGGTTGTTCCATTTGCACAAGCATTTTGGCTTCCTGGATGAAGCGATCCCACCTCTCCTAAACTTCCTGAGCCAATGTCAGGGGAAATAGCGGGTACCCAGGGGGCGGGGAGGAAAGCTCTGTTGCATATGCAGAAGTCCATGTGGAAGGCATCTGCTGACAGGACTCATTAGTTGAATCCCACCCACTGTATTCTAGCTCTGCCTCTCTTTCGTGACTGGTTATCCCACTTCTTTCTACCTTACCACCTTTGATGACCTCTAAAATTGACCTCTCAGTCTTGAGCCTTGCTCTTTCCTCCCTTCCTAGTCTTGGCAAATTTTGCTTGGCTCAGATGAACACACTCATTCAAAAACACATTTTTATTATTACTGAATTCACTCTCCATTTGGATAGCCTTTCTCCTTGGCTGATTTTCATTATGCAATAAGTCACTACCTAAAAGCCCAACAGCATGAATCAGGCAGCAACTTAAGTTATGCCTCAGAAAAGTTGCATGTTCGAAGAGGAAGCCCTTCTTTGGGCAAAGACAATTGTGATCTGGGTAGGCTCTCTCAGGAAGTACAGGGTGAACATGTCTGAGACAAAGAGACTTCAGCACTGCTGCCTGACCCACCAGCCTTTGGAGCCCCTCGAAACAAGAAACTGGGCTTAACCCCCGAGGCTGCAAAGTACAGAGACTGGCTGAAGGCCAAGCAAGCACATCTGTAAGACTGAAAATCCAGTAATGGATTTTCCAGAAAGAAAAAGAGTTATCTGAACTATGCATTGCAAAGTAGTTTGTAGACAGAGATCTCGAGTGATCAGCTCACACTAGTTAACAAGGTTTTACCTGGGTAACAAATCATTGTTGCTTTTAGCTGGGTTGGAGTGTTTTTTCCAATGAATACTCATTGAATTGTGTGCTTCCCTGTTTTCCTCTTGCTTGTTTAGTTTCTGGCACCAACTAACACATTTCTTTTAAAAAAAAAGGGGGCCTCCATTGTGCATTTTATTACCAGCTAGGGAATTGCATATTTCAAATAGCAATTGTTTATTATACCAAAATCAGCGGGCCACTTAACTTCCAATATTCCCTTTTGGAATTTAGCCTTTAGCCTGGCGAAGGATAATGACCTCTAGTGCCCAGCAGGCCTGCACTACAGCTGGGGGATAAAGATAAAAAATAGCTACTGGTCCTCCTTTCAACTTTGAACCTGTTGTTGTTGTTTAGTCATTTAGTTGTGTCCGACTCTTCGTGACCCCATGGACCAGAGCATGCCAGGCACTCCTGTCTTCCACTGGCTCCCGCAGTTTGGTCAAACTCATGTTATTAGCTTTGAGAACACTGTCCAACCGTCTCGTCCTCTGTCGTCCCTTTCTCCTTGTGCCCTCAATCTTTCCCAACATCAGGGTCTTTTCCAGGGAGTCTTCTCTTCCCATGAGGTGGCCAAAGTATTGGAGCCTCAGCTTCAGGATCTGTCCAAAAATAGCTAGTGATCCTCCTCTCAACTTTGAACCTAGGCGTGGCCTATTAGTCTTTGTCCATTAATTATCACTCAATGGACCAGGAAAGGTTCCAACATTATTGCAATTCACACTTGACATAGCAAGAGACAATGGAATTGGGGGAGAAAGCCATCTAATCCAATTCTCAGTCTTAAGGCACGACTGTTAAACCTATTAACATAAACTTCATGATTACCTGATGATTACAACTAGGATGGCTTACAGATTATAGTTAAGATGCTTTAACACACAGTTAAGATGGTTTAATATCATAGGCAGGAAAACAGGAGTAAAAAAAGAGCCCCCTGCCAGAGGCCAACACAACCTAATTACTAAAACTGTGCACTTGGATTTCCAGATAGTTCAAGAAAGCAAGTCATAGAGATGTTAACAAGAGAAATTCAGAGACCACAGCTCTTCTCCTGTAGTACATCTCCATCTTGCTACCTTGACAACAGCTCACTGAAATCTTTGCGATCAGTCAAGTATTAAAACTGGCATACCAGATTTGTGGCTCTAGCTAAGAAACATGAGGAAATATCTTAAACCCACCTTGCCTTGCTGGTAAATTCTGTTTTGTCCAAAAAGCCTATATACACAGGGATGACACCCATCTCATGCCAAGCCTGAAAGTAAATGGGCAGCCAGCTTTGAAACAGCTGTCAAACAACTGCTTACCATCATCGCTGGTATGGTGTTCAGTGACCATATCCTGAGCTGCATCTTCTGTGGAGGCTGCCTCTCCATGGGGGCTTTCACTGCAAGAAGAAAGACAGAGAGGGCTACGTTGACCGGGCATGTTTTCCTGTTTTTTCCAAAAAGAAAAGAACTGGCTGGTAAATGGTATGTGGGTATCCCAGTGACCTTGAACTTTTGGGTGGAAGAGCAATGTTTGATGGAGACATGCAAAGCATGTAGTTTGGAGAGTAGCAACCTTTTGAGGCTTGGGTGGCAATAGTAACTTCTCTCCTTAAGCTGAACTCTGCAGGGGGTTGCGGACAAAAGCTCCTACACCACACGGACTTGTCATAGATGGGGCTTTTGGAATAGGTCAGAAGATGGGAGGCACATGTCCTGGTCCAACATCCCGAAGAATATGTGGTGGTCCATCTACTCCAGCACAGGTCAACATGTGAAGTTGCCTTACGCTGAATCTGACTCTTGGTCCACCTAGCCCAATATAGTTTACTCGGATTTGCAGCAGCTTTCCAGGGTCTCTGCCACCTGAGCCTTTTAACTGAATATGCTGGTGATTAAACTTGGAATCGTCTGTGTGTGCTGTACTACAGAACTATGGGCCCTCCTAACAGTTTAGCTGGTGCCATGAAATGCTTGAAAAACATGGGGCATGAGGTGTGTTGTGCGAGAGCTGGGAACAAAGGCTTGAAGGTCTATCAGCAGGTGCCACATGAGGTGAGGTTCATATTGCTAAGCTCTGAATGGGACCTGTCTAAGATGTAAATTGCTTGCAAGTTTTGTGACATGGTATAAAAAGTTCTTAATAACTGAAGTACCCCTTGCCTGTCTCACAATGGCTTCTCTACAAACAATTTAACGTGCTAGCTTTGACTCCTACACTGCTTGGCATCCCCATACCTAAAGGAATGCTCCTTACCATATGTACCTTGCCAGGCCCTGAGGTCATTGATGGAGTCCCTTCTTCAAGTTCCCTCTCAAAATGAAATTTGGAGGGTAATTCCAAGGGAGATGGCCTTTTCAGTAGTGGCCTCCCCTTCATGGAATGCTCTTGCTAGAAAGACTTATCTAAAGTTTTGTCTACTTTATAAGATCTTATTAATTAATTAATTTTGTATATGGCCTTCCGTCTGCAGATCTCAGGTCAATTCACAATGGTTTGGCATCAGGAAAAGACTTTTTTCTTCTTCACTGGGGCTTTATTATTTATTGTTATCATTTTATTATAGTATTTGTCGAATGGTGGCATTATGTTCAGATTTTAGCTTTTGTAGCTGGGCTGTATTTTGTGGTTTTGTGTCTATCTTGGATTGTGTAACTGGATTTAAACCAATGTGGGTCAGTTTTACTGATTTATGTCTTTATTGAGTGGTTTCTTTACTCCCCCCCCAAAAAAATTTTTTTTACTGTGTATGCCACCTAGATAGTATTTTTATCAGGCAGTTCATAAACTGAACTGAACTGAACCAGCAAAATAAACACGTTTTGTTCCATATGCTCTGCATCAGGCCCAAGGCTCAGGATAGACAAGTAAATACTTTAGTTATGTTGGTTCAAATTTCAATCCCCCAACTCAAAAGGACATCAGTCATCCTGTAGCAGTAGATTTCTTGCATCGTTAGGAGTCTGGACTAGAAGATCTTTGAAGTCCCTGTCAACTGTGTGGGTGGGATTCACCTAAACAGCCCCAGAAGTCACTACTCAAGGACTTTTGTTCATACAACAGGGCTTCCCCATACCATGTGATCCAAAATTGCCTGGGGGAACATGAACATGGTCAAGAGAGGGGCAAGCTGCAATGCTTGCAGAAACAGAACAATAAATTCCACATTATGATTCTGTCTGGAAAAACTAGTTGCTTTCCTACTGTTTAGTTTCTCCCTCCTGCACAATTTTTCTTTCCTTTTTAAAAATTTCACCAAGCTGCCCCCACCATGAAGCCTCAGAAGCTCTTCCAAATACAGATGACACTTGGCACAAGTTGTGAAAATATATCAGACCACAAAAATAATAGATGCTGTGTATTTTTTATCTAGCCTGCCATAGGTGCTGTGCACTCAGTGCAGACACATCCAGAGATAGGGCATAACAGAGCCTTGTTCCCCTGAATGAGAAGACCAGGATATAATAGGAACTAGACAGCTTCTGTAGGGACGTGGGTGGCGCTGTGGGTTAAACCACAGAGCCTAGGGCTTGCCAATCAGAAGGTTGGCGGTTCGAATCCCCGTGACGGGGTGAGCTCCCATTGCTCAGTCCCAGCTCCTGCCAACCTAGCAGTTCGAAAGCACGTCAAAGTGCAAGTAGATAAATAGGTACCGCTCCGGCGGGAAGGTTAACAGGTGTTTCCGTGCGCTGCTCTGGTTTGCCAGAAGCGGCTTAATCATGCTGGCCACATGACCCAGAAACTGTACGCCGGCTCCCTCGGCCAATAAAGCGAGATGAGCGCCGCAACCCCAGAGCCAGCCACGACTGGACCTAATGGTCAGGGGTCCCTTTACCTTTACCTAGACAGCTTCTGTACACTTCCATAACTGGATCTAGCTTTCCACCAAATCCTTTGGTCAAGGCAGCGAGATAAGGGGAGTGGGTGCATGTGTAGAGCCTAGAGAGGAAGCCGCAGTGGTGGCTGGTGCCAGTTGGGAGTGGTGGGAGAGAAAGTAGGGAGGCAAATGGTGGGTGGAGGCAGAGGCAATGTCAGGCAGAGACAGCAAGTTCTAGTTTTGTCCTCCTCCTCCCTGCTTAGTTCTACAAAGGCAAATTGAGACTAAGGAGGAAGAAACCATTGACCAGGGCCATCTCCTGGGGGAGGTGGATTTGGCTGAACACAGACTGAAGTTGGTGGGACAGTGCCCCATTTACCCTAATGGATCAGCCTCCACTGGCCTCCCATTCTCTCCCCACCCCCACTTCAGTAAGTAGACATGCTAAGTACCCATACAGTACATCTGGAAGGAAAGATAGGATTTATTATGTCACCCCACCCCTCATTTTGGGGTAGATCTGGAAATGTAAGAATAACCAAAATAACCAATTCACAGAATTAAAACTGGTGATGTTCAGAACCCACCCCCAAACAGGGGCCTCCCCCCCAATAAAGTAGACAAAAAAGCAAGCAACCGCCCCTCCCAGCCCCCCAAATGTACACTTTGAACTGAATAACCACCCACACCCAAAAATCCATTAAAAATAACTGGGAGAGAAAGGGGACCTTAGTGGGCACAGGATTCTTCTGTGAGTGAGCATGACACCTGCAGCAGACTATATTTAGCTTTGTAGCTTACTAGATCAGAAGGGGGAAATAGATAAGACAATTCAGACATTTACAGAGACTTCAGTATAAATCAAAAGGCACGATTTTGCCCTATTATGATTGTACCAATATCAACTGGGTGGCTGGGGAAACCCAGCCAGATGGGTGGGGTATAAATAATAATAAAATAAAATAAAATAAAAATTACTTGTTTGTGTACAGTTGTAGACTGATTTTTGGTCTCTCTAAAATCCTCAAATTTCTTCACAATGTATTGCTTTGCATCATCTTTTTTAGGAATTAACTGACCGCCATTTTTAATAAAAGTGTGTGTATGCATATGCATGTTGAACAAAATGGAACATCTCATTACAGTTAATCTATATGAAACCCCAGCTTTTGAGCTGCATCCAGAATCTGCATCTTAGGACAGGCAGTCCTCCTATATTTATCAAAGCATGTTAAGTAAGACATTTAAAGGCAATGGCGAACATTTCAGATTTTGAGATAATGAAGCTTATTATAAAAATGTACTGATGTACAGTGCAACGATATGATCCCATGGCATTCCTGCCCCCACCCACAAGCTCAATCCTCATTCAGAATTAATTTCCTTGGTTGAAAGAGATACTGTTTTTCTAACTCTTACGTGGCCATTTATGTACTGTACTGCAATGAGGCAGAACACTAGAAGAATTTAAGACGAGAAATACTGTTACAATGTGTTGAGAGAACTAGCTTAGCCGCTAGGGGACCCCTATGCCATGTACGGTAGAAACCTCTGAGGTTCAGAGCCCTCCACACAGTATGACTTAATTCTATGATACTTATGAAGCAAAGGTTGTATTTCTCCTAGCTTAATTACTCTGCACATAAGATGATGAACTGAACTCCTTTGCCTTCAAGGGAAGAAATGTCTGGTGAACTCACATGATCTAGTCCTTTTTCTAGAAACACGATGATTCCTATTACCTTGTGTTGGATAAATGGTCTTGTGGTGTGTGCAGGCCAATTTGTTTCCCAGTGTTTCACAAAATCAAAACTTCTCAATACAGTTTGTCCCCAAAATGTTGAACCATGCACAAGGGTTGTGGTGCACATGGACATCCGAAGTGAATGGAAAGTAAGTTCATGGTAGAAAATTAAATGGGCACTCCAAGTCCATTTAAGACAAATAGATTTGAGACAAATAGATGTAGTAACAAAAAAAGAAAGAAAGAAAACCCCAGAACACCTGCAATGTATAAGGTACTCTTCACATTCATACTGAGAAGGATGAGGAGCATCTGCCCAGCAACCAAAAACTGAGCAAGATACATGTTACACAATGGAAACAGAATGTATGAACAATTGCTTTATCTGAGATACTAAGAGGGCACATGTCCTGAATAATGCATTTTTCTAAAACACTCAAATAAACATCCTGATGATTGGCGCCCACTGACGATGCATTAGTCTTCTGTTAAGGGGGGAGGAGGGTGGGAATGTGGAAAAACCAATTGTTCTGTTGATGTCATGCTTAAAACTACTACAAATCTTTTAAAAAGAAAAAGAAAAAAGAAAAGTGGACAAGATAGCAAGGTCACTATTTTTTTTAGTTCAGCAGGCTACACATCTGAGGTCCTCTTCGGGCAATACTTTGCTCTGCCACCATTTTTCACACACACACAAACACAGACAGAGAGAGAGAGAGAGAGAGAGCACAGAAAGATTAGAAGGAAACCTCAGGCTTGTATACTCTGTCCCTTACTCTCTTTACCACAAGATGAAAACACTCAAATTGAGAGCTCCCTGCATTATTTGAATCTGTTA